AGGTGCCTGTTTACTTATTATCTCTCAATTGAGTTTTAGTTATGCTTTTAGTATTTATTTGAATTTTTTTTCTCAAACAAGTTTATAATACAATTTCATTTAAAAGAGCAATGTGCATTTATTTATCACAAGGAGAACAAAGTGGCCAGGAATAATGCACTTTTCTATGGTCGGTGGACTGAAAAAGTAAGATGAACTCTTTCCGATTTCTTTCCCTCTTTTATTTTGCTACAAAACAAAGAGGATAAAACTGTAAACTCTTTTGGTTAGCTCTACCTTTGCCTGGTTTACAAACAAAGCAATTAAGTTATCCTCTGCATGGATGAAATAAACAGTATGCTGAATCTTGACGAATCCTCGACCAATGCATAGGCTAACTGCAAAAACCGACCATGCAAAAATAATAATAATAATATTTTCACGAGTCTTTAAGCAAGGAGGTATTGTTAGTTCACTAGTTCACATCTATTGTTTTCCACATCTTGTCTAAATCGTTCCTTTGTTAATTAATATAAAGGTAAGATATTAATAGTATGTTCCAACCCCCTCCAAATTCAACTGTAATCATTCACCCAAATAATCTACAGTTACCTCAATATTAATTGTATGTTCGAAAGACTGTTTAACACACAAAAAGTCAAAATTAAGCTTAAAGGTGTTACGTTTTCGACCTTATGGGAGAAATATACAATAACAATAACATATTCATTGTGTTTTCACAAGTGAGGATTGGAAAGAGTGAAAATATGTAAATCTTACCTCTGTCTTGCTTAAGATAAAAAAGCTATTTCCGAGATCCTCCGCTCAGTATTATACCTTCATCCAAAATCAAGCCGTTAAGACATCTTTACCTTAATCTCTAGGGCAAAGGATTACCAAAATTGAACTACTCCATCCTTGTTGGAATCCCACCAAACAATTGAGGTGGCTAGTAATCATTGGTCAACACATGACCATATATAAAACAAAGAAAGCCAAAAATGTTTGGCCCAAAATGTTCAACACAGCCTGTTTGTCTACTAAAAAGAGAAAGGAAAACCTGATTGTGGGTCCAATCCATCAAAGTTGTAGTTTTGTGTTAGTCCAAGTAGCCGTTGCACCACCCTAGCCTCCACAACTACTTTACGTAATACAGATATTGTACAGTTCTTCATTAATTAGCATTGTCTTTCTTGCAAGAAATCCGTGGCCCTGCTCCTTTACCCCGCTCTTCTCACCCCCTACCCCAACAAATTGGAGTTAGTATATAATATATGAGCAAAAAACATAAATAGACAAAATTTAAGAAATATTTCCACAAACTTAGCAGTAATAAGTATTTTACACACAAGGCAACTAAATAATAATTACATTCCTAGCAAAAAGCTTTCAACCATGTCCCTAAAATCATGCTTTCACAATGTTCATTTCCTTAAAAATAAAATCAAAGGATTTCGGTTACCCATCTTTAGTATCCCAATAACAGTCTCAACAATTGATTGTTATCTTTTAATTTATCTCTCTTCTACAAATGAAATTGTCGTTAATTATGATTTTATTGGTATTTTCTCTCTCTCTCTCTCTTTAAATTATTATAACCTTATATTTGGTGGTATAACCATATTTTATTGGTAACATGTGAATGCTTGTATAATAGTGTATAATTGGTTGAATAAGTTATATTTATAAAATTTAGCTATGATATATATCATATAATTTGTATAATACATTAGAAAATTAATTAATAAGTATAATATGAAGTATAAATTAAAATATTATTAGTATAAAATATCTTTTTATTTGTATATGTATATGTATATATATCTTTTTTCAATATGATAAATATACACGACGTATCTTCGGGATATTAAATTTTATAATATAAAATATACCATATATCTATTGTATAAATATTATATATTTAGCCACATTATAATTGTGTAAAATATTACTATTATATATATANCATAGTTCAAACAAAAAAGAGTGTAATAATAGTTGATTGTCCTAAAAATTAGAAAAATAATTAAATGACTATTCTGTCTAGTGTAAAATAGATTATTTTTATAAGTGATAGGGCCTTCGTGCTTTTAATATAGTATAGATATAGATATAGATATAGATTTATACAAAAGCTTCAAGAAAGAAAATCTTTTTGTGATTAGAGTTTCGACGTCAGAAGCCTTAAAGAATTGTACAAAATAAACCTAGTCAACAAAGTAGCTTATTTGGTAATATTAAAATATTTCATGACCTTATCTTTATTCTATTGTTAGGTCTATTTTAATATGAACGGGATTGAGCATGCTGAGAAATATTAGTTTACTTGTTAAATACTTTTCTTTTTCCTTTTTATGAAGTTTGGTTACGTTGGCCCTTTTAAAAAGTTTGGTTACGTTATCCCCCTTTAGCTTTGAACGCAGCAAAAAACATAAATAGACAAAATTTAAGAACAAATTTCACAAACTTAGCAGTAATAAGTATTTTACACATAAGGCAACTAAATAATTACATTCCTAGTTGAAAACTTTCAATCATGTCCCTAAAACCATGCTTTCACAATGTTCATTTTCTTAAAAATAAAATCAAAGGATTTCGGTTACCGATCTTTAGTATCTCGATAACAGTAGTTGCCAATATAATACTCAACAATTGATTGTTATCTTTTATGTCTCTTCCACAAATGAAATTGTCGTTAATTATGATTTTATTGGTATTTTCTCTCTCTTTAAATTATGATAACGTTATATTTGGTGGTATAACCATATTTTATTGGTAAAATGTGAATGCTAGTATAATAGTGTATATGTGGATGAATAAGTGATATTTATAATATTTAGCTATGCTATATATCATATAATTTGTATAATACATTAGAAAATTAATTAATAAGTATAATATGAAGTATAAATTAAAATATTATTAGTATAATTTTTTTTTATTTGTGTGTATATATATATATATATATATTATAATTTTTTTAATAATATGATAAATATAGATGACGTATCTTCGGGATATTAAATTTTATAATATAAAATATACCATATATCTATTGTATAAATATTATACATTTAGACCACATTATAATTGTGTGAAATATTACTATATTATATATATAGTATAGAAATGATTCATGAACGCTTCACTTTCGATAAAGCCTTTAATTTCTTTAGGGGTTGAATTTTTATGGAAGGGAGAGAAAATAATGAAAAGGAAGAGAAAATCATGGCTTAAAGATTTTTAAATTTATTATGAAAAATTTTATACTAAAAATATAACATAAATCTTTAAACTTATTCTAGAAAGATACCATGAATCTGCAACTGTTATACTAAAATGTAACAGAATATATAATTCAATTTAAAAAATATGTGGTTATACATTGTATATGTGCATGTTTATCCATGTAATTTAAAAAATATTCCTAGTATATTACAGAATAGGTAAAAAAAATGTTTTATATATATATATATATATATTATTTAGAAAATATTCTGGTCTATTTAGAAATTAGAAAGGATTGCTTTTTCTATTTTTCAATTAGTTTATGAAAGAGAAAGAAAATAGGAGAAGTTGAGATCTTTTTACCAGATTATTAAATAAGATAGAAAAAGGCGCTGGATTTTTTTCCTAGAATTTTGAATAGGAAAGAGAAATATGATTTATGAATGATAGAGAAAGATAAATAAGATATTTAATAAGAATCTAAACGTACCCTTAATTATGGGGAAGAGTTAAGGAATTAACGATTATAATCTGCTACATTTGTTATAAAATGTGCTATTATTATCTGTATATATTTATAAATATTATGTTGATGTCGTTATAGGAATCAACAAACTTCAAATCATAGCTCCACTTCTAAACAAATTTAATATCAATTTGTACATATATAACATACTTTCTCTTAATACAGCTAGATAATATTTTTTCCACATAATAGAACTACTCTTGAAACTTGTGGTTTAAATTTGTCATGATATTTCTATGATTATAAGAATATCATTAAGATTATAAAAAAAAAAAAAAATCCTTGAGCTAAAGGTCTATCAGAAACAACATCTCTACTCTCACAAGATAAAGGTAGTACGTACACTCTACCCTCTCCGGACCCTAATTGTGAGATTTACACCGAATTTATTATTGTTATTATTATTGATAAAATGAAAATTTAATATTAAAAAATTTTAAATATGAAATCGTGTTTATTATTTTAGAACATACAAATAGAGTTTCATAAAATAGAAAAAAAGGAAGTATATTATGAAACAAAGTAAGTTTCATAGCATTTCGGCACTTAAATCTCATTAGAAATATTATGAAATATCCTTTATACAGACAAGATAGCAAAATTTTCTAAACGTTCAGAAGTGTGACGGAGAATAAAATGGTAAAGCAAATTGAGACAATTTGCATCTGTTGAGTATTTGGTTTACTTGTTTCTTCGGTACGTATTATCTATCAACAAGCAACAACAACAACAAATTCAGTGTAATTTCATAATGGGTCTGAGAAAGATAATGTGTATGCAGACCTTATCTTTACCTTATAGAGATAAATAGTATATTTCCGGTAGATTCTCAGCTCAAGGAAAGTATGTATATCTATCAATTGGCTAAAATATGTAACAACTAAGATTTCCGAGAATTATGCAAATAATTATAATTATAAGCTTTATAGCAACTAATTATAATATTTAATTTAAATCCTTATATGCTTAATGAAAAAAATGTGTTTTATCTAAATATCAGAAAAAAAGTAATCGTAATTAGAGTAAGTTATTTCTTTAATCATGTCAGAGATTGATAGGAATTATGAAATAAGAGAATAATAGATTAAACAAATTTATACTATTAATTTAACAAACTATTCCTCGTTTAAGAATTATTAAACAATCCGTGTCCTGTTTAAAATTTCCATACTATCCGAATAATAACTATGGTTCTTTTCTACCCATAAAATCCATAACGTCTCTCTGATAAATATTTTCTTTCTATACATTACAAACTCAACGTTTCTATATTATTTTTTTATTAGCCCTACCATACCATCTCTAACGTCTCTCTTTATAAAATCTCCATTTCTATATTTTCTTTAGCTCCATCTTTACTATTCCTCTAACACCAACTTCTCTCTCTCTGTTTCATATACAAAATCAAAAGCTTATGCTTCAATGGCAACAGCATCAGCATATAGAACACCATTATTATCTGAATCAAGCAGCATAATAAGCACAAGCAGCAGCAGTGAATCAGAAGAAAGTCCAGCAACTTCACAAAGATACAATGATTTCCAATTACTAAATCTCCAAATCAAGATTTCAAGAATACCGAACATCCCTTGTACAAATTTCCACTCTTACAAATCCTTAGCTGTTCTTTCAGGCCACGTCGGCACAGTTTCTTGTTTAGCTCTCTGCGGTGAATTCATCCTCAGTGCTTCTCAAGGTAAAGACATAATTGTTTGGCAACAGCCTGATTTAAGACAATTTACTAAATTTGGAACTGGGGATGGTTTTGTTAAAGCACTTGTTACTGTTGGTAATAAAGTTTTTACAGCACATCAAGATAGTAGAATTCGTGTGTGGAAAGTTTCAAGAAGATCTGAGAATGTTTTTAGGCTTATTGATACACTTCCCACTACAAAAGATTATCTTGGGAAATTTATGAAACAGAGTAATTATGTTCAAACTAGGAGACATCACAAGAAATTATGGATTGAACATGCTGATAGTATTTCTTGTTTAGCTGTTTGTAATGGGTATATTTATTCTGGTTCTTGGGATAAGAGTTTAAAAGTGTGGAGAATTTCTGATTTGAAGTGTTTAGAATCAATTAAAGCACATGATGATGCTATAAATGGATTGGTATGTAGTATTAAAAATGGGGTTGTGTTTTCAGCATCAGCAGATGGAAAGATTAAAGCTTGGGGTAAAGAAGGGAAAAGTTGTGGGGGTACACATTCACTAAAGGGAATCTTGGAGGGTCATAAAGATGTTTCTTTAAACTCTGTGGTGGTTTCTGAAGATGGGAATTTTGTATATGGAGGGGGGTCAGATGGGTATTTGATGGGGTGGGTGGGTAACAAGAATCTTGATAGTTGGAAATTAGTATGTGAAGTGAAAGCACATGGAATGGCAGTATTGTGTATGTGTTTAATGAAAGAGGAATTGTTGTGTAGTGGATCAGCTGATAAGAGTATTTGTATATGGAAAAGGGAAATAAATGGAGGGTTATTTAGAGTTGGAGTTATAAAAGGACATGAAGGTCCAGTTAAGTGTTTACAAGCTTCACCAGTTAGTGTTGGTGGTGGATTTATGTTGTATAGTGGAAGTCTTGATAAAAGCCTTAGAGTTTGGTGGATTCCAAATTATTCTGATGACACAAATTTGATTCACAAATAAAATCCCAAAGTGAATATTTTGCACAAGTTTTGTTATTTCTTAACACTGCTTTTTAATTCACTTGTTCTTACATCTTTTTATTACATACTTTATACTTTGGATTTGTAAGGGTTAATTAGGATTTCTTTTAAGCCTCATTTTTTTCTTCTTGTTTTGAGTTTTTTACAGTTAGTGTTTGTGTGAACTGTCAAGTGCAGGAACATGGATGACAATATGTTTTTCTCTATTCTTCTTGAATGTAATTAGGTCAAGAGAATGAGAACATTTGTTTTATCTTCGATATTTTGTTAATTTAATTCGTCATCAGTGTATCTTATTATCTACTTGTTCAACAACCATCTCTCCCTCACAAATTAATTAAAGAACGAAAAGGAAAATAAAGCCAAAGGACAAAGGGATAATTATATACCCTGCACCGTGCAATCTTTATCTGCTTAAGTGAAACTTTGGCTCCACGTCCCAATGCAAATCACATCAATGACATGACAAGCAAGGATAGCCCTTTGTGCATAAATACAAGTATTGCAATTTTATTTGGCAGGTCGGTATTACACACTCATACAAAAAAATATTATATTTTCAGGGATGTAATGTATACAGTCTACTTTAATTCGGGTGCTTCAATATACATAATTATTTATTCGGTCATCAATACTTACAAATACTAAACTTTAATATTTGAATTTCAAATAAATTATAGAAATGGTGGTTTTATTTGTAGTTCAAGTGAGTTATTGGTTTTCAATTTACGATTTTTTTTTTACAATAATAATATACGATCTATCTTATACCTTCTATTTCAAATCTCCAAGGTTTGCATCAATTCCATTAGATGCTTTTCAACGTCGGCATTAAATATATATTTTATCCAGCCTAGACTCAAATATACTCCAAATGTTTACTAGATGCTAGCAGACAGGTCCATGAAACATGAGGAAGCTGCTTCAAATCATGTGAGATAATTCCTACCCCACCATCATTAGACAAATAAACTTTTTTAGGATATTTGTGTAGGAATGAACCTAAAGTCCTTACTAATAATAGGGCTCTTTACTCTTTGTTTCTTTCGTTGTCCTATTCTATTTTTAATTTGCATATGCTGTTGCTTAACCTATTAAGCTTATAAGAGAGGATAATCATGTATAGCTATTAGTACAAATTAAATTAAGTGTTTAGTGGTACGAATTTCCAAAATATTGTTCAACTAACCCACAAATTAATATGATTTTTTGCTACATTATTACGGAGAATTTAAAATTATTATTCCTTCATAATTTGATAAAATGCCTCTGAGTCTCCCTTCTGGAAAGCAACATTAGAATCCCACTTTAGGAACAAAATACGTATTTAATATCTATAAATTCATCAGAACAATTTCACGTAAGATTATGATTTTTTTTTATATCCAACATGAAGTTTTGCAACTTAAATAATAGTGTTGGAAACATTAATCGACACATTTTATGTATTTTTTAAATTTTCTTGTTCAAGATTAAAAAAAAAACATTTTATAGAATCCTACGATTTTTTTGAAGAGTTGGTTAGTGAGTGCTCATTGCATTGGATCATGACTTTTTTTTTCAACTACTCTTGGTTGTACTTATGTGCATGAATTTAGTTAAAAAGCAGAGACGTAGTAAATTAACCTGACTCTTCATTTGCTTCATGTGTGTGCAGAGGCGGAGCCAGGATTTCAAGCTTATGGGTTCGGGATTTTAATTGTTTTAAGTTACTGGGTTCTAAAATAATAATTTATACATATTCAATGAATTTTTTAAAACAAATACATGGTTCGAACCAAAGCTACTGGGTTCGGCCGAACCCGCACTTAGCTCTCTAGCTCCGCCCCTGTGTGTATCTTACTAAAGATTATTTGCTGTGGATTGAAATCCCAAGTCCCAACTACTTTCTATAGCTCTCAAGAACTTTAGAGTGTGTTTATTGTTTAATATGACTCATGACTGCAAGTCATTTTCTATAGAAAATATTTCGTAGTGTTATTGGTGAGTAGAAAACATATATAAACGATCAATAATAATAACAAGTCGGAGAGTGTTTAGATAAAATTTTGAGTTTTAAAGTTAATAATAATGTCTAAGAATTAGTTGAAGGAATTATGTGAAGTTAACAAAAGCATTTTGTGAGGATGAGTTCTTAACAACTCAACCAAGAACCTTGGATAAATGTCACTTTTCTTCTAACTTTTAACTTTAGAATTCTTCTGGGTATAGTTTGCGAAAAAGAATTACCGAGGATGTTGAGATGGATGTGTGGGCATACCAGGAAGGACCGGATTAGGAATGAAGTTATTAGGGACAAGGTGAGTGTGGCCCTTGTGGAAGACAAGTTGCGGGAGTCGAGACTGAGATGATTCGGGCATGTGAAGAGGAGAGACATTGATGCCCCGGTGAGGAGATGCGAGAGGTTGACCATAGCGGGTCAGAGGAGAGGTAGAGGGAGGCCTAGGAAGTACTGGGGAGAGGTGATTAGGCAGGACATGGCACTACTTCAGCTTACCGAGGACATGACCCTCGATAGGGAGGTGTGGAGGTCGAGGATTAGGGTTGTGGGTTGACAGGTAGTCGAGAGTACTCTCTTCTAGTCGTACTAGTAGTATTAATATTAGTCTTGTATTCTCCTATTCCGAATTCCTTGTTGCTTAGACGATGTGGCATTATTGCCGGTAGTTTTCGCAATTCTCTTATAGCTTCGTATTCCTAGTTTCTTTGCTATTACATGTTGTGCTATTTGTTTCTGTTATCTTATTTCCTTGCCATTGTTATTGTTTGTTTATTGTGTCCTTTTCACTGTTCTTGAGCCGAGGGTCTATCGGAAACAACATCTCTTGCTTCATAAGTAGGGGTAAGGTCTGCGTACACATTACCTTCCCAGACCCCACGTGTGGGATTGCACTGGATTTTTTTGTTGTTGTTGTTGTTGTTTTAATAAAATATTTTTTGTTTGAGCCTGAAAAATCTTTTAATAGAAAGCGCTGCTTCCTCTTGAATGAGTCTTCTGTAGTAAAAGTTGCACGGGGCACCCTATTTGGTCGCCCCCATTTAACCTATAGCCATATTTTAAAATATTTAACCTATACCTTAATTTTTACAACTTCATGCGCTTCCTTCTTCCTGCTACATGTACACTCCTTTCTTCCTCCTTTCTTTTCTACTCTTCATTTTTTGCAATTTGTAGTATATTTTACTGCTGATTTGCTCATAGTGACTGCCATTTTTGTTGAAACAACATTTTAAAACTTTTTTTTATCTATTTATAATTCATTGTCTGTATTTATTATATTTGCAATGAATTCAGATTGATCCAGGAATGGAATATCAAACATCAAGCTGATTGCGGCTTTATTGATGCAATTCTTACACTAAGCTTTGAAAGTTGAAATATTATGGCACTCTTGATTTTAAATTTTTATTTACAAAGATGGTCTATCTTGTGTTTCTTCCAATGGCGATTAGGATGTCATTCTCCAGTGATTTCTGTTAATGAGGTGTTTAATTAGTTTGTCAGCAAAGTGTTGTTGAGCTCAGCTAGCAGGCTTTGTACCCAACCAGAAAGATCAGAAGGATTTTCATGAACTGTATCAGTTGAAAGATGAGAAATTCCATCTTCAATACAAAACAAACTTCAGCCTTGAAGTTCATCACAAACATAACAAAGCTTAAGCTAAAACATGCTGAAGTTCAGCAAATATAGAACAAAACTTCAGCTAAAACATGCTGAAGTTCAGCAAATAGAGAACAAAAATTCAGCTAGTAGAATGCTTAAGTTCAACAATTACAAACAAAAACTTCAGCAAACACTAAGTTTACGCGAAAAACTTCAGCTAAAACATGCTGAAGTTCAGCAAATAGAGAACAAAACTTCAGCTAGTAGAATGCTTAAGTTCAGCAATTACAAACAACTTCAGGCCCGTCTACTAGAATGCTGAAGTTTGCGTGATTGTCTTTGCTACTGTTTACCGTGAAAATGGTAATAATAATTAAATTTGATTATGGGATTATAAAAATACGTGATCTATTTTTATGCCGGTTGATAAGAAGTTGATGCTATGTGAAAGACTTAGGAGTGAGATAAGAGCTCTAAAACGAGATATTAGCCAAAACGAATCATTGTCGATTGGGGTCTCGAGTTTATTTATTCGGGGCTCCGAGGTCGAGTCTGAGGCTCGGCTGGGAGCTGTCGGGGATAGTCGATGGGCGACTAACAGTTAGAATGGAATCAAAGACGGCTCTTTATGGCCAATAATAGGCAATAAATGATGAACAATAAATAAAACACAACAAATGTAAGCAATAAATGAAGTAATGAACTCAAGAGAATGTGTTAGAGAGCAGAGGGAATGTTCTTGTATATTTTAGAAGGAAGCAACAGATGACTACAAAATGACAAGGATCCCCTTAATATATGAGGGGGGAATCCCAATATAGTACAAAAGCATTAATTACAAAGATATGGGGCAGGTATAGCCACCTACTGCCCAGATACGGGTCAGGGCTAGACCTCTAGGCTTTGTCAGCCTCAGTCGTGCGCCTAAGGAACTTCTCACTTTCTCCCTGTAATCGTCGGTCCGCACTGCTCCGAGATCGAGCGTTGATGGCCCTCGAGGGACGAAACTCGACCATGGTTTTGAACCTTCGAGGTGTCGTAACGATGGAAAATCAGACCCTCCGATTTTACCGTATACAGATAGTCCCCGCGTTTCTTAGAGTAGAACGATCAGAAACTACCTTGACAACCGTCTCTTCTAACTTCCCCATGATGACATCATACTTATGACGCAAGCCTTCATGATGACTGAGGCGTCCCGTCGGTTCATCTTTTCAGTGTCATTCAATGTACTGCCGATTCTGATTCTTCAGGGCGACAATATCGCCGCCGATTTAGTTCCTAAAGAACTCATTGATTGCGCCTGCTGATATGTCTTTCAAGGGTATTAATGGGGCCGCCGATTATGCTGTCACCTACTATAAAAAGGGAACCCCCTGGAACCATTTCCTCATAGTGTTTTCCAATATCCTTCCATCGCCTCTTTCTCTTCATCCTCATCCATCGATATCCCTCATGTTTGAGGCCTGCGGCCTTAGGGTTACATGGTGTCGCCCTCGTCGGTTAAGCCAAGACCCTTTTCTTAGGCTTTCCCTTGCGTAGCGAGATTGTACTGACTTGCTTCCCGTTGTTGTTGTTGTCATTGTCTCGAGATGATGGAATAGGGATACCAATTTTTTTCCACTCATGAAGATATTCGGATTCTACACCGCTGCTCTGGAGAGCGTTCGGA